TCTCTCTCTCTCTCTCTCTCTCTCTCTCTCTCTCTCTCTCTCTCTCTAAAACACATTAAGTCTTTTTTTTCTTTCTCCCCATATTTAAAACAATAAATATTTGCACTCACTAACATTCTAATCAAAGCACTGTTATTCCATTACTATGGTAATGACTCCTTATATTTACCTCATTGTTGATTTACTAAAGCAAAGGTAATGGTATTTGCCACCACACTGATTTATTCAAACCAAGGTTTGTGAATGTATTGAGCGAGCGATTTATAGAGGTGATGTTACTACTCATCTCTCATTTTGTCCTCTCACTTCCCTCTCTGTGCACCTGATGGAATACATACTGTTCTGTACTGGAAAGATACAGTAGATGTGGTGTTATAATACTATGCTTGGCCAAGCACAGGGCTCTGGTCAAGATTTGATACGTGATTTTCACTGATTCTGAAGCCTCATGAGGTATTATTGAGTCTATAGTTGTATAATGTGGATTTAAGCAGTTTAAAATATATATTGTCCATTCTAAATGCGTAAAGAAGAAAAGTAAATGGAACTGTTTGAGTAAAATAACATTTAATTTTGAGTATTTTATATTTATTTTAAAGTTTGCATTGCTTTCTCTTTTCTTGTCTTATTAGTCTCACAACCCTATCTATTGTGTGATCTCTTGAGAGGTCCTGACTGATATGTAGGGAACGTATAACACATAGGTACAGGGCAGAATAAGATGTATTCCTAACATCTCAGATCCAAACACCATATATCACTCAGCCTCTAGAGTAAAATTAAATATACAATATGCATTTGTACAAACAGAATGCCAGATTATATTCCACTCAGACACATATTCCATATTTCTCCAATGTTGATCAAAACATTTTGGCCTTTTTAACAAAATATTTAAACACTAATTGATGTGATGAAAGCAGTATACAGTATATCTAAACACAATTGCAGACCAAAGGTTGACACCTCTACACACAGAGGCTGATTGCCATGAATTTCTACCAGGTGGTGGTGGTACTACTACTACTACTACTACTAGTCTTCGTCTTCGTCTTCTTCTTCGTCTTCTTCTTCTTCTTCTTCTTCTTCTTCTTCTTACCACCCTGATGGGGAGTCAATAATTAAAAAGCAAAACATTATATAATTTGATTGAACCTGAAGGGACGAACCATTTAGTTCATAACTAGTCAGGTTAAGTAATCACATGTATCCCCATCTACCCTGCCTTCTATAAGATCTATCTTAATAAGATTGTCAGACTGATGACATTTAGCCGAGTCAGTACTCACCGCATGAATAACAATAGTGCATCAATATGCTGTACAGCACATCTTCCATTGTTTTTCTGTAGCTACTGATATTAGTTGTTTGTGTGCTTCTACCTCAATCTCTTTTTATGAACCAACAATATGAAAATGTATGTCTCTCTTTGTCACATTCTCCAGCCACTACAGCAACAACGTGCAATGACCCGGGCATCCCGGTAAATGGTTCTCGATATGGGGACAGTAAGGAGCCTGGTGACAGTATGACGTTCCAGTGTGATCCAGGCTACAAGCTGCAAGGTCTGGACACCATCACATGTGTACGAATGGATAACAGATTCTACTGGCAACCTGAACCTCCAACGTGTGTCGGTAGGTGTACATTATTCTGTGGATCATCGACTGCCAAACTGAGATTCAATTAAATCAAAATTAAATATGATGCTGTGGTCAGACGTTAATGAGTCTGAGACTTCAATGTCATACTGAGCCCTAAAAAAATTTGCACTAAATATGAACTAGATTTTTAGATACTGACCATCAGATGCTGGAATGAATACATCAAACAATGGAAGACTGAGCGCAAAACCTCTGGAGGTGAAATGATCCACAGTTTTTTCTTAAGTCCGAAGTGTAGAGAATAAACAACAAACAAGGCAGTTCAGGTCCCTTATGTGCCCCTTTGTTGTTCTGCCATGTCTGCCATACTTTGGAGGCAAATCAACTGAAGCCTGCTGGTGAGGTGATCTCCAATCCTAAATGATGCTGCTGCTGGAGCATCAGATAGTTTTTCTAACTGGAGGAATGCTCTTGAAGATCAAGGACAAGTTGACAAGGTGCTGAAGCAACTGTGGTTGGAATAAGCATTGAGCACTGTTGTTGTCAGTGGACCACATCAAAATTCAACATGTATCATCAAAACCTCCTGAACTCAGAACTGGGATGATGAGACATGCACAGGAGAGGAAAAAAAAGTGAAGTCAGATTTGTAGCATCACAGAATGATGCAGATAACTGGAATAGGGTTCCTGTTTGAAAACTGCTGAAAAGCCAGAGCTTGTTTGCTCTTTTTCTCTATTATCACCACCATCTGGCCCACCTGCTGCTTGTAGCCCATTGAGCTTCCACATCCCACTCCACACCTCATTCACACAATTCTGCTGCAGTTTGTTTTTCACTCTCCCACTTTCAGGTGCGCTTTCCTTCCTTTATTTTCCTCCTCAGCTTTTTCTGACTCACTTGATTCTCTTACTAAAGGAAGGAGGTGACTTCTGGCCGTAAAGCCTGTATTTTTTGAGAAAAAGAAGGACTAGGAGAGTATCTGTAATTCAGCAAGAGCCCTTAAGTGTCCTCATCGTGCAACCTACAAATCCCAGTACATTAGCACAAAACAAGCCTGTAGCATGTCCCGTTCTCTGACCATACTTTGCAGTTGATAGTAGGCTTTTGCTAAACCACATGCCTCTATTGTGGTAACAAATACATGAAGTTCTTTTTCCTGATTAACTGCTGCATCCACTTCAATTGTGTCTTGCAGATAAAACACCATGTTGAGTTAGTCAGAGTAGATGGATGAGGGAAATCACCAGAGATTACAGTTAAGGTTAGGATGAGGTAAGACATCAGACACAGCTAAAGGTCTAAACAATGTGAGCAAGCTGGGGAAGATTCCTGCAGCCGGCATGGTGTCCAACCCCCAGCCTGCAGCAAGGGACCATAGACATTTGCCTTCCTGTTAGATGCCACAACCCCCCTTTATGTTGCCTTGTCCTTGTCTTTATCAGCCAGCACTATTGGGAAGTCCTCCAGCACAGTCACAGAGACTAATCATTTGCCTTGTAACCATGCCTGTGAAACACATTTTGCTTTGTTCCTGATATTGCCTGCTCTGTCTCTTTGCCAGTGACCTCATATTTGTATGACTGCAGATAAAATGTAGGGCTTGAATCTTAGCCTGCGTGTGCTTCCTTGTCTTTCCCTTTCACCTCAGGTGGTGAATCCCTGGGTGTTCAAAAGCTGCTAAATTTAAACAAATATTATACACAACAGTCTAGTGTGCATTAGTGTGTCTGACTGTGAGTGATTTGCAACTGTTAATGCCTTTGTTTACCTCTATTTCACTGTTGATAATCCGTTCACACCCACCTGCCATCCCCAAGACACCTCTCCATGTTTCAGATTCTTTCTTCACATCACCAAATTGCTGCTTGAATGAATCCATCCGTCTCTCTTGCTAATATCTCTTTCCTGCTTTCTGGCTTGTTGTGGGATAACAGGACCACTCGGGGTGATTCTCTCTGCTAACGACCCCCAGCGTTACACTCTCACAGTCTCTCTCTTTTGCTCTTTCACCTTCTCCAGCTACCTGTGGAGATAATATCAACGATCCACCGGGGGTAATTCTGTCTCTCCTAACCAACCCCTGCCATACTTCCTATCACTAACTAACTCTCTTCCACTCTGCCTACCTTTGGGGACTATATGAGTGGTCAATCAGGGGTGATTCTCTTTCCAAATTACCTCAAGCCCAATGCTGTGTAATCATCTTTCTTTGTCTGTCTGTCTGTCTCCCTCTCTCCCTCTCTTTCACTGTTTGTCTGTCTCCAGCGACATGTGGGGGCAACATCAGTGGTCCTTCAGGAGTAATTCTGTCTCCTAACTACCCCCAGCCTTACCCCGCTGGGAAAGAGTGTGATTGGAGAATCAGAGTCAACCCCGACTTTGTCATTGCTCTCATCTTCAAAAGGTAAGCCACCTAGATTTAAAACTTGGCCCTGTATATATATGTGTGTAAACATATACTATGTACCTTTCTCATATGTATTCTCAAGCTTTAAACCAGAAGAGTAGCTTATCTGTGCTTGTAGAAACACTGATGCCTCTCAGGGGGTATTTCTGACATTTCATTTTGAATGGATTAAAGTTTTTTTTTCACTCTAAAATCGCCCAAATGAGCCTGCACATTTTACCAGCAATGATTTCATACTTTAGAGTTTCCTGTGGGAGTTCAGACTCTTCTATTGAATTTGCAGTTTCAAAGGCTGCCCATGTTAGTTTGGTCGAGGACTTATCTGCAATATTAGCGCAACAATAACAGGTGTCTAAACATCAACCAAAATAAACTGGTAGCATTATGACAAACCAATGTTAATTAAACATTTGTCCTCAAGCTGTAAAATATTTTGTGTCATAATGTTAAAAGTAGGCTACTGTATGCTGTAAGAAACAATAACTTTCATATCAGAATTTGAAATATTGTTATTGAAGATACACATGCGTTTAATGCCTTGTGTCGGTTAGTGGTACAGTAGTTAAGTCTGATTAATACTTAAGTTGTTGTTGTCAGAGGAAGTGTTACGAACTGATCACAAATAATATTACACAACAAGAAAGATAAGAGGGCAACAGCAAGGTGGGGTTTTCCTTAATTTTGAGGAAATGTGGCTACAACAAACAAATTACAGCAGAGTTATGGTCTTACTGATGAGATTGTTGTTTTATTATTTCATCCAAATACCTGAGAAATCCTAAATAATTTAAAAAAAGATTTAGTGGATGGAGGGGGTCCCCAAAGGCTCTTCTGAAACATGTTTTTCTTCTGGCTTACATGTAATAATGGATCACCCTCCATGGGCTTTGTTTTATGAGTGTAGTTTGAGTTTACTTTTTAAGAATAGACTTGTCATGACTTGCTGTGGCCCACACAGGGTAAAAGAAAGATCTGTGCTGTATAGTCAGGGATCAGGCACCAATAAACCAATTTGAGTGGGGAGACCTCATTAGTCTACTGTAAAATCCACTTCTAACATAACTTACGTAATGGTTAGTTTGCGGTGAGATATTATCATTAAAAACTTCAGGTAATTTAAATTAGGTTTGTTCTTGACTTTCAGCTCCTTTAACTACTTACATCTTTCAATCAGCCCTTTTTTGTGGTTAATTTGTGTAGCCGCAGAGTGAATTCCCTATGCATCATTGAAGACATAAAGTAAATGACATGAGTACACTGATTTGCACAGGAACTTTTTGAAAGTTCATATGTTGACAGATGCACTATTCCTGCCTTGCATGTTTCTATGTTTTGTGTTTTTGGTAATAGGCCAGTGTTTATTTACAGTTCAAGTCCTGATTGTGCCTGAGTGGTGACTATTAAGTCACACTGAGGCAAAAGTGAAGATTGGAGTTTCACATAAAGGATCTAAAAGCAAAGCAGAGTTCTCGAGATTGCCACAGGAGAAAAAATGACCCAATTTAGACTTCATGTTTTTCAGCTGAAGAAATAATTATCTTCTGTTGTAACAATTTGACCGTTTTTATTTTACTTTCAATTATGTTGTTTTGTTATTGGTTGTTTTGTGAATGTGGTGTTTTTTTTTCTTTTTCATTATTTATCTAATTGTAATTGTAGTAATTTTTTATTATAAACGCAGCTTAAATTGAGCTTTTTTATTCTATTCTATGGACCCAATTAACAATGACTCATTCTTTTATCAGTCTTTGAATCAATTCAGAGTTTACACAATGTAATCAGGACTCATATTGTGGTATCATATAACAGCCTTTTGAGCATTTACATCCATTGAAGTCAAGTGTAATTTTCTTTTCTACTTTCTTCAAAATATCCCAAAGTGATATGTTCTACACTGAATACTTACAGTCAGTGAAAAAGCATTTGCATTCTTCTCATAATGAAAGTGCAGACTGTTTTATGGCACTGAATATTTCAAGATGTTTGTATTAATTACAAAACAAACTGAAATATAGTTTCTCAAGTTTGCATGATTACTTTTGTTTCAGACCCTTGTGTTACTCTTCTTTGGTCACAAAAGGTTATGATGTTGTCCCATTTCTGCTCTGTGAGATCTTTATGTTCATTTTATGACATTTAGTAGCTTAAACATTCAGACCCAGAATGTATCACTAATGCAAAAGTTATTAGCATGGATCATTTTAATGCTTTGTCAGTGCAAAAAGGGCTTATGTGCTGTTAAGCCCATTGTGCACCAGCTAGCAACACAGGGCTTAAACTGGGCTATTCTGCACAATTACTTTAACTTTGGTTGCTTTTATAACTTCAAGAAGTCCTTTCCTATGATAAATATTATTGTCAGTCAAACGTCAATAACAACTCTTTTGGCCAAACTCAGCTATTTACATCGTTTTGTGTCTAAAAGTAAAGGGAAGAGTTTGAAAATGTAAGGGACAGAATAATCTTTTTATATATCAAAATCTCTGTCTGGTCTGTGAGGTATCCTTTTTGCATTTTACCTGTAACCTCTAACTAAAACAAATTGCGTACATCCTAAAGGCCTGACAACGTGTGAAATGCATCTCCTTGCTCATAATATTTTTGGATAGCTGTTGCTTATAATGCTTTGCGCAGAACTGTGTATTGCATCATGTCAGTGCTTGTGGCATGAATGAATACACGTTATTTTCTATATTTGATAGAACAAATTCAGGATACAAATATTATTCATCATCTAAAAATACCATTCACATGGTACTTTTATGCTAGTTATATATAATGCTACACTTTAATATACACAATACATTGCCTCTTTACCTCTTCTTATCTAGACACACACACACACACACACACACACACACACACACACACACACATACTTCCAGCCAAACACTTAGCAGGATAGTATAACCAGACAAGTTATACTGAGTTGATAGAAACCATAGATATAGGTCTAAATACAGTGTGTGTGTGTGTGTGTGTGTGTTTACCTGCTCTCTGTGAGAAAGGTGGGAGACAGGGGTAACACAGCCACTGTCAGGGCAAACCCTGAGACTTTGTGTGTTCTTATACTTTTACCCTCATGAGGACCTATGTATAGAGAGGCATTGTGGGTTTAGGCTGAAAATAAAAATATGAAAGGCACATACTGTATTTTCCTTTACACGCAAACACATGCCACACACATACTGAGAATATGAATCAAAATAGATGATGACATGCCCTTTTACGATGAGACAACAGGATGATTAACTTGATATTCAGATGATGCAGCACGGCTGCTTTTGCAACATTTTTCTTTCTTTTTTTAAATATCAATGAACTTAATGTTTTTGACTTTTTATTGCTGTATTGCTTTATATTCCTTGAAGAGGAAAACACCAACACATATTCAAAGTTCTCATTTTTAATGCAGTACATCCAGAAAACATGACAAAATGAAAGTAAGATTAGCAGAGAGATAGCATAAACTAATTGGCAGTCATTACATGAAGCAGGTCTTTGAAATTTACACACATTATTGGATTAATTGTTTGAAAAAAAAATAAATACACAAATCTTACTTGATTCTGAAACCCAAGTTTGTCTGTTTTTCTTCTTGTTTTTTTACCCCAGTTTCAACATGGAGCCAAGTTACGACTTCCTGCACATCTACGAGGGTGAAGACTCTAATGGGCCGTTACTAGCAAGTCTCCAAGGCAACCAGGCCCCAGAGCGAATAGAGAGCAGTAGTAACAGTCTCTTCCTGGCATTCAGATCTGACGCCTCACTGGGCATGTCTGGGTTCGCCATCGAATATAGAGGTAATTAAACCCCTTAAACTCCAAAAGCCTTCATATAATGTCCTTGTACATTTTCCTGCAATGTCGCATTAAAGCAACTGAAACTTGTCTGAGATAATGTTTTAGAATTTGTAACAGAAACTTGTAGTAATGATAGTAGTGGTAGTACAGTAGCAGCGGTATCATTATTAGTGGTAGTATTTGTAGTAGTAGTAGTAGGATTAGCAGTAGTGCAGTAGTTGTAGTGTTAGTATTAGGTGGTGACAGCAATTGTAGTAAAGTAGCAGCAATAGTAATCAATTGGCAATCTGAGCATAGCACTGCACTCTCAACCATTAACTAGACAAAACTCTTTGATGATTGGGGGACAAATCAATGTCATCTCTCATTTTATATTGTTTGGGCCAGATTTAGTAAAGCTTCTGCAGCTGTTTTTAGGTGCAGATTGGATGCATTGTGACCCAAACACACATACTGAATGTTTATCAGATGTTTATCTGGCTGGAGTCACAGTTTGCGTGTCATTTTAGTGAGTGTTTGCAATTTAATATAGGCGTGTTATAAAAAAAAAAATAAAGCAATTATAGCAAAATTTAAGCAAAATAAAGCAATCTGGGCTGGGATATTAGGTTTGTGTTTAGCAAGCTTCTTTTTTTTACTTGACCATCAATGAACTGTAAAATCACCACAGGCTGCAACTGAACTTATCTTTTAAGTAAACGTTGTTAAATGTTAGAGCTGAGGGTAAATGCAGCTAAAGACTCAACTGAGCGTTTTTACCCAACATATAATGTGTGTCCCACTGCTGAACTGAGCCGATGAGCTTCACTTGCACAGTGTGTCTCAGATTCAATCCAGGAGCTTACTGCGTCACGAGCTGCTATCTTAGTAAATCTGTTGTTGAGTACATGCAGATTGCAGCTTTAAATTCAATGAAAATTGGCTCTGTCTTTGATGAATAAGCCTGGAATTGGTTTTCAGGACACTGAAACAAGAAACAGTCATTGTCCCTCTGTTTATGAAGTGTAATGATTAAAATGTTGATACAGGAATGTCATGCAGAGTAGATAACATTTTAAAGTGCCTACTCTATTAATTTCACCCTTGCTTTACATCAGAAGTGTTTTGCAGTTGAAAGGTGACACTCTTCCATGTCAGCCCACGAGTCGTCTACGTTCACAGATTGTGACTCATCCTGGTTTTACAGATGCTGCTTGACTAGGGGTGATTTAACGGCTCTAGTCAATATGGAGCTGATGATTAGTTGTTTGACTGAGTAGAGACTAGATCTGCTCTGTCGAATTTTATAAAGTATATTTTTCTCTTGTTTCTCAAGCTCCATTTATCTCTAATTAAAAAAAGATTATCTCCCTCTCTGTTGTCTGTCTCCTCACGCTACCTCACACCTTTGTACTTTTGTCATTAATTCACTAGCTTTCATCTGCCATCTCTCTAATTAAAATACAACCTTAATCATCTCCCTGTTTCACTTCCATCTTGCCCTCCACCTCTCCCTCTTTCTCTCTCCCTCTCTCTCTGACTGTCGGTTTCCCTCTGTCAAGCCCAATATCTCATTCTCATTGGGCAATCACAATAAAGCAAACAAGCTGGCCCTACGCCAAATCATAAAGAGCCAAGACAGTTTTGAGTTTTCTTGACTCCACAATTAGTTAATAGGGAATATTCAATACCATCTATATTAGGGTTCAACAAATAGCCCGTCGACTACATTTGGCCCAACATTTCCACCAATAGTTTTGACCCTGAATGGAATCTAAAAATGTACTTTATTTGGCTGCATAAACATTTTAGACACAATTTAGAAATTTACAGCTATAACCATTGTATTAAAAATGACTTGAATTTGCCATCAATACCGACATGTGGAGAGCAAATTGTTTCAGCGGCTTTGTTCTGCACCACAAAGGAGAATGTGATGCAGTGCCTGGTGTTGATATGAGATCTAATGATCTTACCAGATGAATAAATACAAAACTGAAGAAAATTTGTTATAGTTTTATATTAATATACCAAATTAGTTGGGCCTTGTGTTTTTCCAGTAACACAATTTCTCTCCTTTCTCCACAGAAAAACCAAGAGAAGCCTGTTTCGACCCTGGTAACATTATGAATGCCAGTCGCACAGGCTATGACTACAAACTGGGATCTCAGGTCTCCTACAACTGTCACCATGGCTACACAACAGTGGGCGGGGATACCATCACCTGTGTCATGGGGAATGATGGGAAGCCGGTGTGGAACAGGGCTCAGCCATCATGTAAAGGTAGGAGAGACGCATCGAGAACTGCATCCTTACAAACACCAAGATGATGGAAAGCTCAAATTGGTCAACACCGGCTTATGTTGAACTATTAGAAAACAACCCTGCTGGCACTCAGTGCCGGTTTATTAGGCACACCTGTACAATTGAATGCAATCCATTACAACTGTTCTGCCATAAAGAGTACTTTTACGATGCCTATAATGTTCATTGTTTGCTATGATGTGAGACTCACTTGTCTGTGAGTGTGTGTGTGTGTGTGTGTGTGTGTGTGTGTGTGTGTGTGCATCTGAGACAGTGAAGAGGGGTGTTGGGGGGTGGGAGAGAATAATGATGAAATAATTGCACTCGGAGAAGCTATTTGAGAACAGCGACTGTACAGATCATAATCCTACTTATCAACCTAAGATGTATTAGACTTACTTAACCAACCTCAAATCTGGAAATGTATCTGTGGCACTTATTGGTACAGCTGAAGATGCAATAATCTGTTTTTCAGATTCCTTTCAAAGAAAATAACTTTAGACTTTCTTTTTTTATTCTTTGAGCGCATCAAAAGTATTTACTTATTTGAGGTAATCTTACTTGTTTTATTAATAGACAAGAAAAAACATTGGTATTGTGTGGTGTTGCCATCCAATCAGCTCGCTAGTTGGCAGTTAGTCCGTCAGTCATTTTTACATTCACATTTTTTACGAGTCTGTGTGTTGTACATTATAATTCAACAGTATTAGCCCTTTTCTTCAATGGAGCTGTTTCCTCACGGGGAGACAGACCTGGTGCCTGGCCCAGGCCCTTTCTGTTTCCCACATGAATTGATCTGCCGAGTTTGCCGTCACCTACAGTTCACATAATCAAAGCAGAACAATTTAACTAAATCCAGTCCTACCCAGTAATACTTCTGCCGCTCATTTTGCGTGTTGAATTTTCTCACCACACAGTTAGGGGAGCTTCTCTGTGTGTCTGTCGGTTTCTCTGTCTTTGGGCAGCTCCTGGGGCTTTTAGACCAAACTCATTAGAAGGGGTGAGACCTCTTTAAATAATACATCTCCACTTACACTCCCTCTATCTTCTCTCTCTCTTCTTCCCTTTCAAACCTCCTTCTCTTTCCTTTTCTCTGAAATGTTTCTCTCCTCTCTCTCTCCCTCTCTCTCTCTTCCTGTTATTTTTCATCCTCTCTTTCTCTCTCATTCCAGCTTCCTCCCACCTCCTCTGCCTGTCTGATATATTTTTTCTCTCAGCATTTGTCTCGGTCTCTCTCTCTCTCTCTCTCTCTCTCTCTCTCTCTCTCTCTCTCTCTCACACACACACACACACCCCTCCCATCTTAAACCGCTCTTTTATTGGTTTCCATGGTAACTAAGAGCTGGTGCGAGAAAGAAGGAATTCTCCATGACTGTTGATAGGGTTGTGTGTGTGTGTGTGTGTGTGTGTGTGTGCGTGTGTGTGTGTGTGTGTGTGTGTGTGTGTGCGCGTGTGCGTGTAAAAGAGAGCGAGAGAGACACACAGAGGCAAAATGAGATGGAGAGACATTGCTACTATAGAGTGCCGCCTAGAGGTTAATACACATAAACATACTGACACACAAATCTACTCTCTGAAAAGTTACTGTAACTGTTCTGCTTATGGTGTTGAAAAAGCTCAGGACTGCAGCTCAACGTTAAAAGTTTAGGACATTTTTGAAATCTTTTCCTCACTACCACCCCAAAGCATTACTCTGTGTGTGTGTGTGCATTTTTGTGAGACACAGACTGCGAGAGGTACATGTGTGTTCTTATGTATGTCTGGGGATGATCAAAGCACATGGATGTGTGAGAGAAAGAGAGTGACTTGCAAGGCATTTTTTGCATTTATTTGCGAGTCAGAGGGTGTAAGTGATGAAAGCACGTGTGTGACGGCTTTTGATTAGACTGACACCTGAGCTTAGAGCAGCACTACTGGGGATTGTTGTGTAGATCAAGACAAGACCTCTAGACCTGAGGGTTTGAATGAAGCAGCACAACAACTAATCCCCAAAAATATCAATCGTTATCAAGTGGCGTGGAATGAAAGAGGGTGATTACTCTGATGCTTAAGGAAACAAAAGGAAAGTTGAAAGGTATAGGAGATCAGAGGAGGAGGACGAGTTGGTGTGTGAATACAACAACTGTCTAGCAAAGGAGTAGAAACCAAAGCAAGTTTTGCTGTATTTTTTATTCTAGGCATGTAAATCAGTTCTACTGAGCAAGCCATAGCCAGGAATATGGGCCCAGTCTTAATGTCCACACTCACGGTCTCATAGGCTTTGACTTGTGTTCCTTATAAGTCTGCATGGGCTCAAGGCTTGTCCCACTGTGAAATCGGAAAGTGCTTGAGGGTTCTCCGGTTCTCTGGTTCTCTTTTTGAGCCCTTTTTGCACAGTTTCCACTGAAATGATTTTGCTAGAGGGAATTACCCTGAAGGGGTTGTACAAAAAACCCTGAAGAAGTTGGACAAACGTGAACATGTTCATAGCTGCAATTCACTTTTTTAAAACATTTATGACATGATCATGACAAATTGTTTTGATCTGTTTTGATCAAGCATTGCTAGGCTATTATTACATATTTTAATGAGCAACAATCAATCTCAAAATCACACCCTCGCTTCTGCGTGGCCACAGACAGGCCGACATAACCCAGGCAACATATAAATTCACAAAGTGCTGTCCCATTTCTCACACAGCATTTTTAACCTCATGCTCTCAGATTTTCACTGAGTACAGGGGTCATGATAATCAAAGTCTGATAGCGTGGGTGGACATTGGGACAGGGCCACAGAAGTATGGACACACTAGCAACCGAAACAAGACAAGAAGAGGTGAGAAAAGAAGCAATACGAATGCACCGTGACTGTGTGTGTTGATAACATCGGCAGATTTCCTTGTTGCTGATGTTTTCTACACATACACAGCCACACACATTCACAGACACTATTACACTAATTTCATCGACCTCTGCTGGCCTTACCTGCAGTATAAATGTGCACACGCCCACATGGTTTTCACACGAACGGTTTGTAACTCTCTTGGGGGTGCTGAAGATGGATCAAGCTAGTGTTAGGTTTACTTCTTGTGGGTCATGCAATGGTAGTAGAGATTAATAGGCTTTTTGAAATTCCAGTATGCTGATACTGGAGATCCCACATTGTGCACTTGCGCATTCACTAAAGATTTATATTGCTACTCTGGAGAGGGTGGAGCAGAGCTGCCGTCTCAATTATATGATACAAGCCATCATATAACAGCAATTTTCTGGATTGTTTTTCAAGTTTTAAATCTGATATTTAGTCACCAAATACTGCTGTTGCATATTGCTCCATAGTACCACAGTATGTCTTGCTTTCAGGTAAGTAAATGTGTCCATTTTCCTAAGATACTCTCAGTCTGCCCTCTGTCAATGAAAAGCATCACTACTTTTTCAAGATATTTCCATTAGGAGCCTATTTAGATACTCAACTAGATCTTTGGTTATTTTTGTATTATTGGCACGTAGAAATAAATTTCAATGAGGAGAGACAAGTCAGATGAAGAAAAGATAATTGCTTATTATCAACAGATATGTAATGATAGAGACTTTGGCGCTTGGACTCTACGGGGAGATTTGTAATGGAGGGGCGTCTGCTCTGAGCAGCAGCAAGATGATAGGCTAACGATGTAATTGTGTCGCTGTGCGATTGGACAGAAGAGACCAGCTGATCAGACCAGCTGATATCAACTTACTCAATAGCTTCATATGGACACACACACACAGAGATCAAAAGCACTATATTTTGACAGTATATAACAAAGCCTTGGAGCCTCAAGACTCTAAGTGATATTTAGGGACAACATGAATTTTCTGCTGAACTTAACAACTTTTGAGCCAAATGCAGCCAGTTGGTTTTTTTTTTAAAGTACATAAAAATAACAGATTAGAGTAGTGATACGCTTGCCAGCTTTGAGTGCAATGGGCAGTGCTCCCAGCAGCAGGAAGAAGAAAAAATGAAAGAAGAGGCACACGGTTAAAATGTGAAAGCTTCATTTCAACATCATTTCTATGAATGCTTAAAGCAACAAAGGGGATGAAGCTGTTTGGGCTGCCAGAAGTGTTGCACGTTTTGTTACCTTAGTTTGACAGCAGTTACAGTGTAGGCTAGTCCATAAGTATTAATTTATTGACATTCTTGTATTTGTATTTTGTATCCCACAAGCTAGATTTAAGTGAAACAATGACAATTATGTTAAAGTGCTGACCTTCAGCTTTAAGGGTATTTAAGGGTGTTGAGATCTATACCGAGTGATCACGGGTGCCTTTACAGTCCTTCAGTTTTAGGATATTGTAGCAGTACAATGATCCTAAATTACAGACAAGACAACCAAAGATGCAGAGATAAGTATCAGTATCAATCATACCATGTGTATGCTTATATCTGTGAGCGTAAGTCTTCAGTACCTCACTTATGTATTTATTTTGGCAAATTTAAGGGAGTTTAAGTGAGAGCCATGCTCTCTTTTTCAGAAAGGCCATGATCACAGTCAAACAGTCACACCTGGAAGCTGCCCGGCACAGTCACTGTCTGACCTGTTGGCTGGCTGGGGGTGAAGGGCTTTGCTCAGTGATAGTTACAAGGGAGGGGTAAATGTCTCTATTTCACTTTCTCCACCCAGATATATCCTACCGGTCAGGGAATCACATGAAAAATGTGTATATGGTGATTTAAAATGTAACTCTTCTTCATTCTTTAAAGTTGTACAAAATGTTTTGCTGCCTAAAGTTTTAAGTTTAGAAATTGCTGCAATCCCTATAACGTTAATCTGATGTGAACGTAAACACCCTCAAATATAAACTGAATCTCAGCACTTTAACTTCATAGTCATTATTTCATTACAAAGTCAATATGCTGAAGTACTTTCTGTATATGTCCATTCTCTCTCTATCGTTTCACACTATACAGGGTTTGGATGGGTTCCCAGCATGCACTGGGCGAGAGGGAGTATACCTCTTAGACAGGTTGCCAGTCTCTCATGGGGCGAACACATATAGATAGACAATCATTCTTGTCAATGGACTTTTTTTTCCAGTTTTCCAATTCATCATCATCAATTTTTTTTTCCTGTGAAATTAAGGCTAGACACTAGTGCAGAAAAACACAGATCAATTTGTGCTTGCAGTCTGTGTGGTATTAGCATAAGACTAAAAGGCATGAGACTATTACTCATTACATGTAGATTTCAAATGGTGCAGATTAGAGTTGTTGTTATTTTCTGAGAGCAGTAAGGTCACGAGATAATAAGACTAAAAATATTTACTTGAGCTGCATCCAAGAAACATTTGAGCATGCATCATTCCGAAAATTGAAGTCATAATCTTACTTTATTGGGAAGGATTCGTAAAATGTAGTCATTAATTCAATACAAGGAATCTGAAAGTATGCTTTTTAAAAACAAAAAAATTGCCAGTGGAGTATGTGAAGCAGTATTTGTATCGTTCTGATACAAAACCACTTGATTGGATATCTGAAAAATAATTATTTAATAGTAATTATTAACAAACATTCCTTAAAACATTGATAAGATGCTTTGTTAGTACTGTTACTCATTGTTATGAGTTGTATTGCTGTGTCTGAACATCTTCAAGTTGCTGTGTTTACGCTTTGTGTGCTGAGATTTCTATAGAATATATTGTGGGTTAATTAAGTTCTCTCTCTTCCCATTGAAACCTTCTATAATTACATCTGCCCAAAGTGCAGTGCAAAGTGAATTATTTCTCACATATGGCTCTGGCAAATATGTGAACATGAAGTGCAGGATATATAATCCTGCCATTTACACAGTCCTTCCCAAATTGCATGAGCATAAAGAAGAGAGGGCTGAATTCACAGAAGATGCTCATTGGTAAACAGGCAGAGTGCATTTCCAGACTGGTCAATCTGTTTGATGAATGACATGCATGTCATTAAGCACAGAGTGTGTCTGAAGTTGCAAAAGGGTTCAGTCTCTCATTTTGTAAAATATGCACTGTTCAAAACAAGAAAATAGTACCTACAAATAATGAAATTCCCTTTCTCTGTGTTTCTATAGCTCCATGCGGAGGACAGTACAGTGGATCGGAAGGAGTTGTTTTGTCTCCAAACTATCCTCTAAACTACACTACAAGACAAACCTGCTCCTACTACATCACTGTGTCCACACAGTTTGGTAAATCCATAAATGATCACACCATACATTCTCACAATGGATTTGTAATTGAATCACCAACTACTTTTTTTTGTCTTCTTCCCTTGTCATATTTTTCAGTGGTATTTGGTCAGTTTGCTGTTTTCCAGACAGCAATGAATGACTCTGTGGAGCTGTTTGATGGAGCCAATGAGAAAGCTCGATTGCTCAGCTCCCTGGCTGGGTCACATTCAGGTGAGACTCCTATTAGCTGATTTTTGTGTCGAACACAGCTGAAAGAATGCTATTAGGTCACGCTGCCATAAAAGTAATGGTTGCATTCTTTATTTATGTGAGGTAGAATAATACTATATTTTTAAAAAGCTGCTGTTCAGTTGTAAGGTTGTAACACTTTTTTTGTGCTCCTTAGCACATCTCTGAAAGAGAAAAATAATAAACATTTTTGTAAGAAAGCAGCACTTGGGGGCTGTATAACACAGCACCAGTGGTCGTTATCGCAATTTATTTGACAGTGATGTAGTTGGTGAAAATCCATTATGGGTTATCTTTACAAGAAGAAATCAGTAGTGGAAAGCGTCCAACTGGGGCACTACAATATAAAGTAGCACTGAAACTCCTTAACACAATCCTCCCTGGTTCCCTTATCCTCCAAGTTTGAGTGATCTCAGCTTGGCAACATTTTGAGTCACTGCACAGCATGAATCAAGATTCAGAGATGAGGCAAAATCTCTATAGATGACACAAAGAATGAAATGGGAAGAAATATTGATAACTTAGTTGTTGGCAAAATGTGCTCTCATTACCTCAGAGTTGCGTGTTCTTCTGTTGTGTGTCATGACCAGGGGGCATGCTGCAGGGGAATCCCACTGGAATTGACATTTTGTTTCTTCCTGTAGAAATAATGGCTTTTAAAATGTTTTCTTTGTAATATGTAATCAGTTGTGTGCTTGTCGAATTATGAGCTGTTGAAAAAGGGCAGCAACCGCCATTACATTTATGTGGTACGGTCGAGTTTGATGATAAACACATCAATCAAAAGAGAGAAAAAACAAAGATATCTAGATAGATTCCCAAGAGCATTTCTTTCTATTTTCACACATCTTTCTTTTGTTATGCTCTTTCCTTCATGGAGTGGATCAGTGAGCTTATTTCAACATAATATTAACAAGGAGGATTTGACAGTCTTTGTTTGGCTAAATGTAGCTGCACATTATGCAAATGATTTCCTTCCAACTACTATCCATCTAAGTTAGTTTAAAGGAAAGAGGCCAGCTCATGTCATGTAGAATGGGTGGCTTATTCCTTAAAGTTAATTTAGGTTGGAAATTCCCCTTTTGGCTAAAACTGGCAGCAAAGAATGAAACACACCAGGCTTTACAAAATAATGTTAGCCGCATCATTACCCTATCACACACGCACACATACACGCGCGTGCACTTAGGCAAACAGCTTTGTAGCACATTGTTCCAGCTAACTGACTGATTATCCTGACACACACACATATTAACACACACACACACACGCACACCAAACGTACACATACACACACATCCCAACGCAGCTAATGATGGTTCTAAATGTCAGCCACACCAGACCATGTTTTTTCTCGTTTATCATTGTTACTTTGTTTGTTTGTGTATGTGTGTGTGCATATAAATCTCTGTGTGTATGAGCCTGTGAGGTGGTGTGTGTGTCTTTTTTCTTGCATTCTTATTCTTGTAAGGACCACATTTTAGCAGAGAAAGGGGAGAAACCTCTACTTGAATGTGAAGCAGTACTGTTTAATTTATGGTTTTGACTGTCTGTGAAATTAACATTAATTTTGTGTTTAATTGTTTGTCCCAGGAGAGACATTGCCATTGGCAACTTCCAATCAGATCATGCTGCGGTTCAATGCTAAGAGTGGCCAATCAGCTAGAGGCTTTCACTTTGTCTACCAAGGTAACTCTCAATCTGTTTGTCTTTTTCTCTCACATACATACACTCACACACAGTAAGTTGCATTGAACTTCAACTTCAACGTGAAAGTGAAACTCTCTCTACTGATAACTATATTTCTAATATGCATCCTCTTCTTCTTCTCATTTTATTCAATTACCACCATCATTGTAGCTGTGCCTCGCACCAGTGAAAGTCAGTGCAGTTCAGTGCCAGAGCCGCGGTACGGCAGGCGGATCGGTTCAGAGTTCTCAGCTGGCTCTGTGGTCCGGTTCGAGTGCAGTCCTGGGTATCTACTGAAAGGATCTAGTGCTATTTGGTGCCAGGCCGTGCCAGGTGCCCTCGCACAGTGGAATGCAACAACACCAGCCTGTATAGGTAAGGCTGACTGAGCCTAAAATTAATATAGCATGTACAAGCATCAGGGTAGGAAATTTACATATTTTTTTGGGGGCAACTTTTGCCCCCACTGAATGAAATCCAGGGGCATTTTCAAAAAATTGGGGGCACTTTTTGAAACTTGTGAAATAACATTTAACCTTTGTTCAAAATAATAAATATACTTATTTAGGCTTACAGTATATGAGCAATTGTCATCAAATGGCAATAATAATACTATTAGGCAGTAGTCTACAGATTCAAAGTGTTTTGTTAGAAACAAACGTAAATCAGACAATCATTTTCAATTGTATTCTTATTTTTTTGTGGTTATTTATTGTTATTATTAAATGTTTTAAACAACTATTAACAATTATTAAGTCAACGATGCCTTGATTACATATACTTCAGTCATTGTATGGAATTATTGAGGAAAAATATTTTTGTAGCACCTCAAATATTGTGATATTACCCATTTTTGTCCTGAACATATGCATTAGTCATTGTGTGGAACTTTTGAGAAAAACATTTTGATAGCACCTTAAAAATTTTAAAAATGTGCCATTTGAAGGTACAAATTCAGTTCTTACTGAACTGAGTTTTTACTTGGTAAATCTTAATTGACTGTCAGTCAGGTATTATTCATTTCCAGCAACCCTCAAATCAAAGAATAAAGACACTTTACGCACAATTTAGGTGTAGTTTCCCTTTAACTCACGAGCTGCAGGTAGCATGTTTTATACTTAATGTGAATATAATTCATTTAATCTAATTTCCATTATGCAATATGTATACTTTGTTGGCATCTTATTCTGAAAACCGGATGTTTGTCTGAAGAAACCGGATGCTGTCTCACGTTAATCTTTCCATTAACTTTCAAAGCCCTTCGCTCGCTCCCGATCTGCGCCGTTTGAATGAGTTTACCGTGAATTTCAGGATATAGGCGCACTAACATGTAAGTGTCTGCTGAGTTGACCGCAGTCTCGCAGTCACAGGTCTGATTAAGAAGCGCTCCATTTTTTTATTCGTTTAGAAAGTTCGGGGGCATTTTTTGCCCCTCTCCTAGTGATATCAGGGGCAAAATGATATTTCTTAGGGGCAGTTTTGCCCTTTGCCCTCGTGTATTTCCGACGCTGACCAGCATATAAAGTAAGAAATCAGTCCTTTCTGTGAATCATCCAGTACTGGGATCTTGACATGGATTCTAACAAACTAAATGTATGCCTGTGTGAAATCTCTCTCTGCTGAGAGCCGGCCTTTTGCAAACAGCTTCAGCTGTCACCTCAGTTTATACAAATAATGTTTATCATATTTTCCCTCTTTGGCTCCCTGTAGTGTAGCTGTTTAGTTAATACACTTTGCCAATAAATTCATATTTTATGTCTCCATTCTAGTTCCCTGCAGTGGCAATTTGACTGAACGACGCGGTACAATATTGTCTCCTAGCTATCCTGAACCCTACCCAAACAGTCTCAACTGTCTGTGGAGGATCCATGTCAGTGAAGGGGCTGGGATACAGGTACAGATATATACACACTTGTAAATAAATATGGAATATAGAAGACGCACATCAACTTAAGAGTTTGTTATGTTCATTTATTTTCATTGTTATCTAGATTCAAGTGATGACGTTTGCTACTGAGCACAACTGGGACTCTCTGGAGATCTACGATGGAGGAGACATGACAGCTCCTAAATTAGGGTCATTTTCTGGTATGACAATATGCTCAAACACACACACACACTCACACTCAAACACACAAACTTGTGCCCAAACACTCATGCACACAAACACTCCAGAGATCTCTGATGGATGAGATATGACAATTCCTAATCTATAGATACACACACACACACACACACACACACACACACGTATAGACTGACAGACACACACACACACACAAGATCTATGATGAATACGATATGTAAGTCTTAAACTATAGATACACACACATACAGTACACACTCGAGATGTATGATGGATGAGTTGTAATACCAGATATATATCTTAAATATAATAAATGTCAGAAAAGACTTAGAATTCATCCAATTTCCAGGTAGTCGGTAAAAGGAAGAGAAAAAAGGAGGAAGGGAGGGAAGGGAAGAGTTTCACTGCAAGGGTGAGTGAAGGATGGAAGAAAATAGGAGAGGAAGAAGACAGGGAGGGATAAATAATGATCTAACCTTTTACGATTTCCCAGCGGAGTTTCCCCTGTGACCTGCCCCAAGCACATGCTTGTCACACACTTATCACACATAAAACATGCTGCCCATAGGGCAACACATGCACACACCTCCACAAGTTACTGTGCCCTTCTCAAGAAAGCACACCAGGGAGCTGCCCACTATAACCACAGTGATGGCCTCTGAGCAGCTTCTGGGACAGATGAGGGTTGCTTCACATTAGGACAACAAAATGCTGGCTGTCCATGGAGGGCCAGGGGTCATTCACCTTCTCTACACATAATCTCCCTGCTGGTCTTGGGATTTAAACAATACTTATGGTCAAAATCTTTTTTTTTTTGTTAAAAAAGCATCAGCATCTATTTTTACATAATTTCTCCATTTATGCCCATTGTCGTGTCACACACACGTGTATGCTATGTTTTTATATTCGGTCTCATGTTTATCTCTGTCTTTTACAGGAACAACTGCTCCTGCCCTCCTCAACTCAACATCCAATCAGCTCCTCCTGCACTTTCAGAGTGACATCAGTGTGGTGGCAGCAGGTTTTCACCTAGAATACAAGAGTGAGTTAAAGCTTAGATTTATAGCCGGATAGACAGACAGACAGACAGATATAAATGGTAGATTGAGTGTATGCTGCTGAGGAGGAACAACTAAGTAGTGAATATTGGGTGCCTTCTCTCCAGAATCCACAAACGCTCACAAACCCGCTGACACACTTGATCACAAACACACATCGCTGCAGCCCAAACTCCAACATGAAATAACACGAGTCAGTGACCTGAACTGGTACTGCCCGAAAGCATGCAGACACTGACTCAAAATTGGAGCACACACACACAGAACACACACCTAGAGTGAAACACATAGACTCAGACACGTACATACACATACACAAGTGCTTTTGCTTGTGTCATACATGCACATAAGTCCAAAAAAAGGCACATACACACACAAATGTGTAGACAGACAACGGTATAGACATGGATATTAACATCAGGCATTTCCACACATACACACCTGTCAGGGCATGGTTGTGCTTTTCAGTCCTTTGTAGTTGTTTTAGCTTAGAATCACTTCCAGATCAATGAACATGTCCCCTTTTGAGAATATGAGAGCATTAGTGTGTGTTTGCACACACATTTCTTTGTGTGTATTGGTGTGTGTGTGGGTGAGTGTGTGTGTAGGTGAGTGCACATATCAACACGCACTAATAATAATGAGAGCCTGGAAGAAAGGTCTCTTTTAGGGACCGTTCATCATGTCTATTTCATTGCGGTCACTCTCATCTTTTAAGTGAGGCTTTTATTACTGGATGTGACAGATCCTTGTGTGACACTTGCATTTGAACTTCCTGTGTGATATCCTAAATAATCATCAGACGAAAATGGTACTCCTTGTGGGCCAAGCCCACAGACTGTATATAAGAAATGGACATAGTCACGGTGATGTCACTCACTGGTCTGTGTACTGAAGTTATGAAGCCTCGAGGCAATTATAACTTTGATTCAGTTCTGGAATTGTATAAAAAGTATTGAGTCATAATTCTCACGATACCTACGTTACCTGAAGGCAACGTGGGTGAGGAAGGTCATCAGCCTTCTCTGTTATGCTGTCACTCAGGATTACACGCCCCTCTCAGTTGATGCCACGCCCCCCACTCCAGATCAAGACTATAAATCTGAAAGTGAAAAAAAGTTTTAAAACCGAAAAAATTTGATCTGAAAATATAAAATCTGCAACTGAAAAATATAAGACCTCAAATATCAAAATATATGAAAGTGAAAAATGAAAATAAATATTTTTTTCAAAACAATTCCAGAACTGAACCAAAACAAAATAAAATAAAAAATACATTGTTGTATTTTTCAAAGTTCAAGACCAAAATATTAACTTTCAGTTTCTATTTTTTTTTCAAATGATCAAAATTATTGGCCTGAATTTGGCTCCATAGACACCAACGTTATTATTTGCAAAATGATAGTTCATGCTCATGCTGTTTCGCTTTGCAAAGACTCGTACAACTCAAAAAAGATTCCTAAAATATTAAATCAATAGACTTTTGTTAATGATTTTCCCTTTATGGTCCTCGAATTCACAATAATTGTCAACTCAATAGCATAGCAACAGTGTAACTTTTTCTGACACATTACGTGTTACACACAGATTTTTACCATACTGTCTGTTTCCACTATGTTTCCTGTAGAAACAGGAACAACACAACCACCCCAGCATATGTTGTGCTGTTAAAAATCCTCCTTGTCATTTTTGTAGTAATGTGGTAGCTTGTACAAGTGGACGCAATCGTCTGCTGAGGACACGTGAATGATTATGGTGATGATGTTTGTCATCGTTAAGCTGACTAAAGGGCCTTTCCTCTAAAGGGTAGAGTAAGACATCTCTCTCCCTTGTCTGTCCTCAAATAAAGCGAAACAGAAGTATAGTAAACCCAGTCAGTAAGACTTAAGTGCTGACACTGTCTAGTTGTAGTCCAGTGGCCCTAGTGGGATGGTTCGCTGTATTGTCAGCATTTTACAGAGCATCACTGCTCTGTCATAACCAGGGAAAAGAGGGAGCAGTTTGCTAGCACACACACAGTGAGAGAGAGATGGTCAGCCAAATGGAATAGTTTCATTGATCAGTTGTCCTGACAGCCTGCTGATGCTCTGCCTAATAACACACTGTGTGTGCATGGGTGTGTGTGTGTCTCCAAGTTACAGTCTCACGCAGCTTTTTCACCTACGTTCGATCTAATAAAAGACCCCCTCATCCCTCGCAGCAGGCACACACTCATGTAACAGTCAGTCATGCACAGTGGGGCTCGGCCACCTGGATGTGTGTGTGTGCGTGTGTGAGTGTGTGAGTGAGTGAGAGAGCTCAGTGGGATCACATCATTTTGCTGGTAGGAAGGTGGATAATGAACCAACAAGACCAGGCACACAAGCAAGCAAGCAAGCAAACACACATACACACACACACACACACACACACACACACACACGTACACACACATTCATGCCTCTCTCTCCCCGTCTTTCACTCTCGATTCCTCTTCCACCCCTGTGTTGCCATGGTAACCGCTCCAGGGCAGTCTCCTGCGGAAGTTTCCAAGTGAAACACAGAAGCAGACTCACACACATGAACACACACATACACCCTGACTGATACTGTGTGATGAAGGGCTGGCTGCTGTCAAACTTATTAAGGATGAGTTTAACCTTTATTGGGTTGGGAATACACAACGAAAGTCATTCCGTTACCTTCACATATTTTTAATACATTTCAGAGGCTGTCATCAACACTGACAACATACAAGCTTTTTTATTGTACTAGCTGTCAACTCATAATTAGGCTCCGGTGTATTAGAAAACATGACATTACGAGTGTTTGTCAACAGCAGTTCTTCATCAGATTCATGTAAATGTTGTCATTTTCATTTGCTGCCATTGTTGTGTAATAATGTATTTATAATTATTTGATTTGGACATAATAAGTTTGATAATGAAGGTCAAGACTGCAATGTGGGATTAGCTGTCTAGAACTTAAAGAAGAGATGATCATATCATAGTTTCTGTATTTTTCCACATCTGGCTTAAGTCATTTGTCCAGAGTCCACTTGAGCCAAGCTATGCTTACATAGAAGACTTAATGATGAAATAAGTAACAGTAATTACATAGTTGATTGTGTTTGTGTTCTGTATGTTTGTAGCTGTTGGTCTTACCACCTGTCAAGAGCCAATGATACCAGCCAATGGTGTTAAAGCAGGTGACAGATATATGGTCAATGAGGTGGTGGCATTCACCTGTGAACCGGGGTACACATCACAGGTAATGAACACAGACACACACCTATAAATAAATGTGTTAATACATACATGTAAATGATGAGATTTGATTTTCAAATATTTAAAAAAAGCAGTAAATATTGTGAGGCTAAATTATGTACGGACACAGTCTTCAGTCATTAACGATAAGCAAGCATGCAGTGAAATGAAATGTCCACATTCGTTAGGTTTTGACTCGTGTTAAATACACTCCAAAATTCTTGTCATGTTCTTAGATGAAGTAAAAATAAAAATTTCCAATCTTAGAAAATGCCAGGATTGCATACTTTCTTTAACTTTCACTTTACTTATATTTTCAGGGCCACTCTCACATTTCCTGCATGCCTGGGACTGTGCGTCGATGGAATTACCCACCTCCTCTTTGCATAGGTAACACGCACACACACACACACACACTCTGCTCTGCTGGCTAAATTATGTTGTGAAAGATCGATCCAATGGGGAAAAAAAATATATCCTTCAGGTGTGAGGTTCACATTGAACTTTTAGATCTGCACAGCACAGTGACAGAAGCGTTTCAGTAGAATAAAGATGAGAGAGGGCCTCCATCTAAAAACAAAATGTCCATTTTGAGGATAAAAAAAAACTTGAAGTCAATTCATTCATTACATGTGTGTGGAATTTCTCAGAGGCACATCGTATAATTCTGTCAAATAGCAATATGTATGTTCCAAGACTAAAGTCAGTTAAAATGGATATTATCTTTTGAAGTAGAAGCTAGATGCATGTCAGTAAAACACAATTTCTACTTTAAAAAGACTTGTTAGTTGCCGAGACAGTGCTATGATGTAATCTGGCAGTTGACAATTACACTTTATCTACTCACAATAACATATTACAGGAATATGAATTCTTCATAAAATAAATAGATAACAGTAACAACTGAATGAGGAAGTGTAGTTCTTGTGATTCAATTTGTATATTTAATGTTATAACCTTGAAATAAGATTTGTGGAAGTAGGCAGGTTCTTACACTAAAGGATCAATACACTTGCTGGATTCAAACATAATTTTGTACCTTGTGCTGAGAGCCAAGGCTTCCTAACTTCTGCAATAGAGTTAAGCGACCTTGATATACATCGATGTGTGTGCTAGGTGAAAACTTGTAGCAGGTCTGGGAAGCCAATTCCAGTTAGACTCAACTTTGACATGTCAGGACTAACTAAACTCAGCCCTGCCACAGACCCCTTCAGTGTGTGTCCAGCATTTCCTATTTCAGTCGGAGACACTTGTGTCAACAAATCATATCCCCTCTTTGTCAATAGAGTGTTGTACCATAATACTGTGCCATAAGATTTAAAATATATGTCTGTCAACAAATTGTTTTATTTTATTTATATATGTTAATTACCCTAATGCACTAACTGAGAATACAAGATACATTGTAATATCAGTTGCCAATTGCATCAAGTCCATAACCCCAAACATCCCTTTTATTTTCTTAATACTGTGATATCAGAAAACATTTTCACACTCAGTGACCACTGTATTTGGTACACCTGTACAATCCAAAAGGTCTATTTCTATGATCCTTGTACTGTTCTTTCTTTTTTGTTTTATTTTTTTTTGACAGAGAGGTGTTAATTCCTGTATATGTTTTAGTATTTAGCTCATAGTTACTGCTGGTGTTGTACAGGCGTGTTTCTAATATTCTTCCCCTCATCGTGTCTGTAGAAAGGGAGGAACAACAAATAAGAAACACCTCTCAATATAATTCAGTCCGACACCACCTTTAACTATGACCTCAGTAACAAAGCTGAACATTATAAAGTTTATAAATGTAGAATTTTTGGCAGAGCTGTTGTACTTTAACGTACTAGAGAGTACAAGTGTACCTATTAAAGTGGCCACTAAGTTTAAATAGTGATACTACAAATCCCACTTTACCCCTGACCCGGTGCTCAAACCCCTATGGTTGCTGCTTGCTTCTTTCTGTTGAAGCCAAGAGGATAACGTGATTATTTTTCCTGTGCATTGCTCATGCGTTGCCTGTTTTAACGATGTTTTTACTCTGCCTGTGTTGTCAGCTCGTTGCGGCGGGGTGTTGTCTGAGATGAGTAGTGTCATCCTCAGTCCAGGTTTCCCTGGTAACTACCCCGGCAACCTGGACTGCACCTGGCAAATCACCCTGCCAACTGGATACGGTAAATATTATGGGATTCCTCAAAAGAATGTGTGACTTTCAGACATTTTTAGAAAAGGATAATAGTAGTTGTATCTTCTGTGCAGGTTATTAAAATATGAAAGTAATAATATACAAGTACCAAATACAAATATGGAGTTGTGTGGAATTATGTAGACTTACTGTACTTGGTCTCTATGCATACAACATCTTTACTGTGTATGCACACTCTGAAAGGAATGTAAAATCTCCACAGATCTGTTAACTTTAAGCCACGTATATGGCATGCAATTAAAGAGCCTATCAGGTATAAAATCTGTAATCTGATATATCGTTATTGTGTATAGTCTATTATAACCTCTATTTTTATTCTAGGAGCCCATATTCAGTTTCAAAACTTCTCTTCTGAAGACAACCATGACTTCCTAGAGGTCAGGGCTGGACCACAGCACAGCTCTGCTCTTATTGGACAGTTTACTGGCTCGCAGATCCCACCACCTTTGCTGAGTACTACCCACCTCACAATCATCCACTTCTACAGTGACCACTCGGAGAACAGGCCCGGGTTCAAACTGACCTATCAGGGTGAGTACACGTGTGATTTTTGACTTTTGACATTTGTTTTTTTTACTGCAGACACAAAAGCTCACAAACCCTGAGGTCTTACTGCAGGCGCATCCATTTGAAAGCAGCACCTCAAGGGACACTGAGAGAACAGACCTGTTTTCAAAATGAGCCTACTGTTTAGTTTGGGAACACAGGAAGGTTGCTTGAATGATTTAGAAAAAAGAAATGGTCTGCTAAAATGTTCTGAATAAATTAACATCCAAACCAAGTTGCCAAATTACGAAGCCTTCACAACTCCAAGAAATGAAGGGTCGGATGGAAAAACGTATCGCTATGAGGTTTTGAGCTTTGATCTGTGGATGAGTCATGCTAAAGACTTAAAAAACCTTGTGGCTTTCCTCTCATCATTAAAAGAGATGGATTGTTAGTAAGCCCCTGTGAGAGACTGGCATCTTGTCCAGCAGGCTTTACTTGTAGCCCTAACTGCTTCACTTCAAAGACACAAGCGATGCACTGTGGGCCTACACTCCAACATAAGTAGAACAATGCTTACGAACTTACACATATGCTAACCCACATTTACATGCATGTAATATTTTTCCCTTTTTTCTCCCAATTTGCAATGACCAAATTCCCTAACACTGCAGCTCTTGTCATTGATAACTTCCACTGTTGGTGCGTGAAGCTTGTTGACATGTTTCGTCATATAAAGTTGCACCAGGTGCTTTTTTTCAATACACACAGAGTTTCATGATACTACCCTCGGCTATGTTGAATAATAGCACTGGTAGCGCTCCAGTCTGGGTGGATGCTTTCACCCCTGCACCACTCGATGACACAAACTCTTTTTTTTACCCAAGGCCATGGAGGTATAGGGTTCACTAGTCTGAATGTCCATCTGCTCATCCGCAAAACCCCAGTGGAATAACTTCCAAAAAATCAATAGAAAGTACCCTCACAGTAATGTTTTGACCCAAACTTTGCTAATAAAATCTTATGGCATGATACCAGTTTTAGTGTATGGCACTGTGACATTGCTTCTTCTTGGTTGTAGTTTCACAGCTGTAAGTACTCCCACTACCACTGTGACAACCCTTGCATTTACCATATTCTCTCTAGTACCATTTTCCCTCCCTGGTATTTCTATATCCTCTCATATTCCTTCCCCTTGATGCTGCTTTCACGTGGGACCTCTACATCTTTCACCACTTATTTTTCTGCTCCTTCTGTACCTCCACAATGTCCAGTTAGTTTTGTCAATATTTGTTTAACGTAGGTATCTAAGAGTCCCATGGGATCTTAGTTCTGAAGTTCTTAAGCATCCTTTGTGGCGTCTCTCATCTGGACTTGGGATGCTTTAACCCAGTGGTTCTCAAACTGTGGGGCGCGACGGTATTGCAGGTGGGGCGCAGGGGGAAATGCAGAATTTTTTTATTTCAAGAACTTTATTCATACAAACTTGAAATTCGCCGTTTTGAATCAAAATATATCATCCACGTGAAACGTGTAGATCCGTAGAGGTTTTTTTTTGGGGGGGGCGGGGGGTCAACTGGCCAACTAGCGTTTCTCAGATTGGAGTGAGATAAGGAGAAAAGGTGATGTCGTGATCTTCACAATAAAACATCTCTGATGTGACATGTCGAGTCTTGGCCAATCAGCGTTCAGATGTGTACAGCATCTTAATTTCCCTCCGTTAAAGTTTAAGTTACGTTATGTTCTGTTACCATTCAGACTTGCTGGGTTAAGTTAACGTCCACTGCATGCGGAACTTTGTCGACTATTAACTTTCGTCATTATCACGATTTAGGAGGAAAAAACGTAACGTGCTGAAACATGCAGCCCCCCCGTGTTCCGGTTCAGTTCACGCGGTCACTCATTAACGTTAAACCAGAACACCGGCACATCTGGTTGCAGGTTGTTTGTTTTAACTCAAAGTAGAATGAGGATGATTTCGTGGTCAGAATAACTTTCATGACCATGATGATGAGGCCCAGATACTGATGAGATGATGAGGTCAGAGAGCTTAATGAAGAGGAGGCTGTCTGTAGCGCAGCTTAACGCAGGGCTGAGCTGTGAGTGGAGCTGGGCCTGGATAAAGGTGGAGCTGGGCCTGGATAAAGGTGGAGGTCTAAACAGACGTGAGTGCAGCTTCCTGCTGTCACAGTATTTTAAATACATTGATAAGGCAGGGTATGCTAAATGCAGCCTCTGCTCCAAGGAGATGAACTACAGGAACAAGGGCTCACATGCCCTCTCATCACACTGTACACACTGTTCACTGTGATGACCACAGCCAGTGTACTAACAGTCCCAACAGTCCCACGTGCAGCTATTATTATTATCACAGCTATTATCACAGCTATTATTTTACTTTTAGAATGCTACATTTTAAAGCTCATATTTAAAATAAAATGCTCCAGCCATATGCTCACACATATCTGCACTCATTTTGTTTTGCACAGGTTGCACGTTATTCTTGTTTTGAAAAGATATGCAGTGTAAAACTCAGTAAAACTCTTTATTGCCAAATATTTGAACTTGTTTTGTTTAGTTTTTCACAGGTTGCAGCTTATTGTTATTATCTTAGAAAGATATTCAGTGCAAAACAGGTTAATTTCAGCCACAATAAGCTATTTTTTGCCAAATATTAGTTATTTTTTGCACAGATTGAACTGTATTTGCATTGTTCTAACAAAGTGATTGCACATTGTGTTTGTTTTTGTCTGATGGAGCAATCTGGTTTACTTGAAAGTGATTGCAATTTTCTTTATTCTATTATTTGAAAAAGCACAGATGGAGGAGTCACACAATGTTGTTATTTCAATAAAAGTTCAACATGGACCATTTTGTTACAATTTTGTTGGGGTGGTGGGGCATGAACATTTTTCTTCCTCCAAAGTGGGGCGTGACAGAAAAAGTTTGAGAACCACTGATTTAACCCATACGGCAAACAGGTGTTCCTGTACACATCCTGCGCCTGGATTGCGTTGTATGCACTTCTCTCCTACATCTTAGATGCTGCATTTGTCAGACAGTCTACATACATGTGCCAGATAACTGTATAGAAGCAGATTATATATTTTTATCTTGCTGCACTTTGGTAGCCTGGTAGCTTCTGTGTGTCATAGATTTTTTTTAATGCTCCTCGAAATCCATTAGTTGTAGACAGAAAAAAAATTGATTTCAACACAAAGAATTGCAATTGTCCTTTTGGCACTCAAGATACAGGTGTGAAAGGCTTCTATGTAAGAAATATCCAACTAAATTATATTTGTTAATCTGAGTATAACTGTATGCCTGCCCATCCTGTTCGCCAAAGATCAGCTTGTTTTATATTCCTGAAACTTAAAAATTAGGTAAATCTGAAATTAAACTGCATTCATTTTTCTTCATCTCTCTTTTAGCCTATCAACTTCAAAACTGCCAGGACCCCTTTCCTTTCCCTAACGGTGACATCATCAACAGTGACTACAGTGCTGGCCAATCAGTAACTTTTCTCTGCTACCCTGGTTATGTTTTGATCGGACACCCAGTACTAACATGCCTTCACGGGACCAACCGGAAGTGGAACCACCCATTCCCACGCTGTGAGGGTAAGAACAACCAATGATTTTTTGATATAAACATATTTTGCTGGGTTAAACGTATTTACCAAGATTGGAATTAAGAATTTACTCTTCTCACATTAGCCAGTTTATGTTGTGTTATAACACATGCATATAATTTCTATCCCAGAACATCCCCGGCCCTCAGGTAACAATGTTAATTTAAAATCTAGACATTTAGAAAATGTTGTTATCCTAATTGAGTTTCAGTAAATTTAATCTCATCTTTCGCCACCATCACAAGCCAGCAGCGTTAGTAGAAAGTAGAAATTCTTGTGTCACTTGGATCATTTACTCTATAAATCAGTAGCACAATAATTGCACTTATTATTACCACTACTACTATTGCTGCTTCTACTTTTACACCTACAAATAATGACAGTGATTATATTCCTCACTGTCTACAGTTCAACAGTTGTTCTTAATCCCTGATCCTTGCAAATAGATAATCTCATAACTCTGCTTTTTACAGCTCCTTGTGGCTATAATGTCACGGCTGAAAACGGGACAATCTATTCACCTCAGTATCCCAATGAATACCCCAACTCCCAAGATTGCAGCTGGCTCATCACAGTTCCACACGGACATGGAGTTTATATAAACTTTACCTTATTGCAGACAGAGCCAGTCACTGATTACATCGCTGTCTGGTAAGTCTGGGTACTCTTACACTTGAATTTACATGCGCACGCACACACCTACTCACACACACACACCCACCTACTCATACACACACACACACACACACACACACACACACACACACACCCACACACCCACCCACTGTATGTAACACACACATGCACACAAATGCATAAGCTTCTTTTCAATGTTGCTCTTTATCCTGGGACTGATTGCATCACTGACAGGTAAGACTTGAATTTACTTATATCCTGTCTCCTCTCTGCACACCAACAAGACGTTGTATCAACTTTTACTTTTTTTCATCTCTTTCTTTCCCTCTCACACACAAATACACACTCTTTCTGTCACACTGACTTATTGGGATATGTTTTATTGATGATATCCTTATTCCTGGTATTGATTGCATTTTTATTTATTCATCTTTCACTTTATAGAAACACAGTCTTGCTCAAACAAAGGCATATATCAATATGTGTCAATTGTTTATGACTGTATCATACAGGGACATAAACAAAACCTCATATGGATCTGTATATGGCATGGTTGATACACAGGGATCACAGCTCCATACACTCCTAATACATACACGCATACTCTGTGCCATGCATACACAGACTCTTCTGCAGTAATAATAGGATTCAGTGTGGAGGGAAAATTGTAATAGGGGGTGTGAGAGTAATGCATTTACAATGGGACCGCTGACCAATTCGATCTAACTCAGTACCATGGCCATACGCAGACCCGGAGAGGGCTCGGGAACTCTGGCAGTAATGATGAGATTCAGTGGGGAGTGGGAAATGTAATGAAAGGAGCGGTGGAGCTGGGTTCACAAATCCAACAGGACTCGCCTGGATCTGACAAGTTTGGGTCAATCCAAGAGAAATTTCTCACCAAGTAGTTTCAGTATGATACAAATAATATAGAGCGGTGAATTTATTATGAAGAAAATTTAAATCAAGTAGGATTTGTGCACTGTCATCATTTGGTGTTGGTTTGGTTTAATACATATTTTGTGTTTGGGTGAGTTTAGTCTTTTGTTATCAGACTTAAAAGTCAAGCTATGAGGGGTGAGTAGTTGAAATGCAGGCTGTGGGAAAGTAATACAATCACACTGTGACTACTTGCTTTCAATCTCACAAGCTACCAGAGCCATGGAGTTATTTTGCAGTTGCAAATTGATTTGGGTGAGTCAAGTGTTTTTGTCACATTTTACGGAGGAACAAAATTCTAAAATCACATTCCTAGATAGATACCAAAATACATCTGTAATGTTAGATTATTGCCTAAATGATTGACAGTTGCACCACTCTATCTCACTATATCCATCTCCAACACATGAATATTTTTGGAAGTGACTGGGGGCCAACACTGAAGGGAGGAGTGCTTTGCTCAGAGCCGGTGGTATAGCATATACCTTCCAGATTTAGAGTGGGTGATCCAAAGGTTATTATCAGCTCACTGGGTCCTGAATAATTATTTAAGATTTAAGATTTAAGTCTTAAGATTTTGATTATTAGATGTATCTATTGTTTCTACAATTAATTACTAATTTCTATATCATAGGATTTACTGGCATAAATATCTGCAAAATTCTCCCAAAAAGGATTTTGTTTTACTCTAAGACAGCTGTACTCTAAAGTTGTTCAACATCCATAGTTACCAGTTGTTGACAGTCAGACCAAAGGTTTTTGTGTCAGTGACTTTGGCCACTTTTCTGTTTGACAGAGATGCACTCACTGCTCATCTGTGCTTTAACAGATTGTGTATTCTATCTTTAAATCCTTGTGGTGTGAGTATTTGGGTTGTTTTGACTTTCCCAGAGAGAAACAAATGTGGAAATTTAGAGCAGTGACAGAGGCACAATGGGTTTACAGTGAATCCAATGGTCTCATTTCTACTTACGTAGATAATAGCCTGTGGCCTTCTGACATTTGTTTCAATGATGTAATACCTTATATCTGCCGTGAACGGTGAAAACACGATAGCTGACATCATCTCGTTGTACTCATAATGTCACGATCAGGCTTTGCCCTGTATGTTCTGCGTCTGTGTTTCTTTCTGTAGCTCCTCACTCACCTAATCAGTTCATTCAGTGCACTAGTGACTGGTTGTTCTCTCGAAAACCGATGTTGAATACACTTATTGTATGTCGCTTTGGATAAAAGCGTCTGCTAAATGTCTGTAATGTCTCTAGAGTTCCGTCCTCCTGACCCCCAGTCTCTAGAGTTCCGTCCTCCTGACCCTCAGTCTCCCCAGTCTGCCAGGCCAGCCGTCCCTCCTCCGGACCCCATCCACCCACCCGGTTGTGGACTCTGACTCTCGGCCTCGGAGGAGTTATAATGTCTATGTCTGTGTTTCTTTCTGTAGCTCCTCACTCACCTAATCGGTTCATTCAGTGCACCTGCCAGTCACACTCGGCTCATTACTCTCACCTGCTCACTCTGCCTCCTTCACTATTTAAACCCCTGCCGCACACACACCCACTGCCAGATCATTGTTTGTTTTCCTACCTACCCGCTCGTTTTGCTCGTCCTGTTCCCAGTCTGCCTGTTCTGCCTTTTCTGCCTTTTCCTGCTGGATTTTCCCCCTCGTCTTTTGTCTTGTCCCTGGATTCCCTGTTTGTTTTTGGTTCATTAAAACCTTTTTTCACTACACCTGACTGTCTGCGTTTGAGTCCTCATCATGCCCCGTGACAGAATGATCTGGCCAAGGATGGACTCAGCAGACCACGGTATGGAGTGTCGTCTCCCCGACTGGTATGAACAGTTCATGGGAACCCGTCTGGCCTTTGGAGAACCTCGAAGTGTCCAGAAGGCAGACCGTGACCTAATGGACATCCCGGTCAAACCTCGAAGGAGACAGAGGCAGAGGAAGGGCCAGACTCCCTCTCCCGCTGGGCCGCAGTTACAGCCGCAGCTGTCGCCTCGGAGCAGCAGCTATCCCCGGACCCGGCCGCCGCCGCCTCGGAGCAGCAGCTATCCCCGGACCCGGCCGCCGCCACCTCGGAGCAGCGGCTACCTCCAGTCCCGGCCGCCGCCGTCTCCGAACAGCAGCGACCTCCAGTCCCGGCCGCCGCCGTCTCCGGACCGCAGCGACCTCCAGTCCCGGCTGCCGCCGTCTCCGGACCGCAGCGGCCTCCAGTCCCGGCCGCCGCCGTTTCCGGACCGCAGCGCCCTCCAGTCCCAGCCGCCGCCTCTGCGCTGCAACGACCTCCGGGCGCTGCTGCCGCTGCCGCCTCCGCGCTGCAACGCCCTCCAGCCCTTTACCCCACTGGGTCATCAGTCTATCCCCCTGAGCCCCAGTCTATGGACTCCGGTTGCCCCGTCTGATCTCCAGCCCCTGGAGACCTGTTCCCGTTCCCCTCCTGGTCCCCAGTCTCTCGAGACCTGTTCCAGTTCCCCTCCTGGTCCCCAGTCTCTCAAGTGCAGTTCCCCTCCTGGTTTCCAGTCTCTCGAGTGCAGTTCCCCTCCTGGTTTCCAGTCTCTCGAGTGCAGTTCCCCTCCTGGTTTCCAGTCTCTCGAGTGCAGTTCCCCTCCTGGTTTCCAGTCTTTCGAGTTCCGTCCCCCTGACCCCCAGTCTTTCGAGTTCCGTCCCCCTGACCCCCAGACTGTTTTCAACTTCTGGAGCAGGAACTGAACTTCTGACTCACCCAGAATCTGATAGGTATTTTATTCTTGCTTTAACTAAGTTGTCTTTATAGCTGTACTTAGGCTTGCCTCGGTGGTGATTAGACTGAGTTTCTGCCTGTCTGAGGAGGTGTGATTTAGTCTCAGCTGCTGAATAGCTTTGCTAATTGCAAGGGAGGAGCCTACACATCTCAAGGATATAGGAAGTCCAGTTTCAGCTTTCAAGCGTCTGGCAAACGAAGGCTAGGGCGAACAAAGGCAACAAGGCGACTTTTTCAAGCCCGACTTCGTCAAGCTAAGACTTCTCGAACGTGTAGTTACCTCATTTTTATTGTTCAAACCATGTGTTTGCATCCGATTTCGGTCCTCTCTTCTGCTCAGTGGTCACGTAGACATTGGGCCACTCCCAGGTGCCGTGACCCCGCTAACCTCATTTATCCTACTCTCTCAGCTCATGTTGAGCAAGTGGTACCGGGGGGGGCTCTGGAATTGCCAGTCGGCAGTGCCGAAAGCTGAGTTTATCTCGGGCTACGCTTCCTTGCTCTCTCTCAGCTTTCTTGCTCTAACTGAGACCTGGATCACGCCAGAAAATACCACCACACCTGCAGCTCTGTCAGAAGTGTACTCTTTCTCTCACACTCCCAGAGCTGCAAGGCAGGGTGGTGGTACTGGCTTGCTAATTTCCCCAAAATGGAAATACACTCTCGTCTCGGTTCCTCAGTTCTCCCCGTCCTCTTTCGAATTTCATGCGGTTACTGTCACTTATCCAGTCAAGCTCACCATTGCTGTTGTGTATCGCCCACCAGGCCATCTTGGTGAGTTCTTGGAAGATCTCGACACATTAGTCTCACACTTCCATGATGATGGCTCCGCACTCATCCTGCTCGGAGACTTTAACATCCAGACTGATAAATTAGAACCGCTTCTTTCCTTCCTCTCCTCTTTTGACCTTTACCCCACCTCTTCTCCTCCTACCCACAAGGCCGGCAACCAGCTGGATCTTATCTTCACTAGACACTGTTCTACTGCTAACCTCTCCGTCACTCCCCTCCAGCTCTCTGACCACTATTTCATGTCTTACTCCCTCTCCTCTCCCCCCGTACTTCCACCTCCTACCCACATGGTTTTTACCCGTAGTCATCTCCGCTCCCTCTCCCCGGCTGATCTTTCATCTTCTGTTACCTCTGCTCTCCCTGACCCTGAAGCCTTCTCTCTCCTATCCCCTGATATTGCTACTGATCTTCTCCTCTCCACCCTTTCCTCTTCTTTGGACAACCTCTGTCCCTTCACCTCCAGGCCTGCACGGCCAACCCCACCTGCCCCATGGCTGTCGGACTCAGTGCGTAATGACAGACGGAGCCTAAGAGAGGCTGAGCGTA